CGAAGGGTATTTTGGGTATTTCACCCAAAATTCACCGCGAAAAATGACAATCATTGTTTCGCATGCACGAAATTTGTAGGTTTAACTAGACTTCAATTATGAAATCCTATTTATGCATAGGATTTTAATTAAAGTTCTTAATTTCCTTTTTAAATTTCGTGTATTCATATTTTAGATTGTGCCTGACTTGCTGCTCTTCGTTGTAGATTTCAATGTCTCCACGCCGATCTCGACCTCGAAGGAGTCGTTCTCATTCGCAGCACAGCGAGGAAGAGATTCCCGCGACATCTTCTCCAGCGGCCTCTTTCTTTGGGGGTGAGAATTTACATTTTCTGTATCCCTGATTGACCTCTTCGCGGGTCATGAAGGAAGAACCGACACCCTCCTTCGCGGGGGTTAAAGTTTCAGACTTGTCTTGCTTAGCCAATTCAAGTCTTCTGGTATATTGGGGCGATTTTGTGTCGTCCTACACCTTATAGTTCGGTGTATGTTACCACGTTATTCACGTGATGATGCATACCGTTCTTCCAGTGTAGGACACTCAAAATCGTCGCTCCAATTATTCCGTGAATGAGCTTATCATTCTTCTTATGAATTTTCTGACTCCACCCTTGCGCTTTATTGCAGTGGAATTTCCCGCGGGTAGCCTTCCTCCTCACGCCAACACCGGCTGTAGTCGGGAGGTTTTCTCTTCAGCTTCCCTTAGGCAGGCTGTTAGCCCACTTCCTCGGTTCGATAGAGATCGCTCAGACGACTCTTGCCGCTTGATACGGGAAGGAGGGCACCATTGTTTGCGCCAGCTTATCACAGATGCCTCCTTCACCCCGGATTCTACTTCCACTCAGGTTCTAAAGAAGCCGAGTTTTCTATTTGGAGATCATGTCAAGGATCCTGCTACGCTGACTCTTTGCGAGGAGCATTGGCTAACTCTCGACGGGGGAGCTTGTTTGTACATCCCCTCGATTCCACGCCAATATTCTTTCAGTCACTTGAAGGGGCAGGCCGTGGAGCGACAGATGTCTTGGCACCTTACTGAAGATGCTGAGCGAGTTCAGTGTGGATATGCCACTCACCACAAGAC